CTTCTTGGGAAGTTTAAAAGGTCTGGAAGTTCGACTCGCCCGGGAGTACACTACTTTGAGCGAACGTGTGCCAAATGAAAAATAAATCGGTTCTGGGAATTAACCCAGTGGGTACGCGGTCCCCGATGCGCGATCGAAATTACTTGTGTACGCCTCGACGTACCTAAGCCCTTGATACTCTCGTGGCCCACGTAAATCACGCGTATGGAGAAAAGCGGAATAAAATCCCGGAAAGAGAAATCGGTACTGAAGGCTCACTCTGTCCTTTGAAATACAATGCGCAGCCATTTCTGGTTCAAATGTCTCCAACAACAAATACTCGAAACTTAACAGGACTGACATTTTCAAATTCGTTTTAGAGAACATGACACTTTTTTTAAAAATTGTTTCGCTCGCGAAGAACTGCACGCTCGTACAGTTTGCTTACGTATCATTCAAAAGCGTCTGGAACTATAAAAATGTAATTTTTTCATCTGTCAAAACGAGTTCTGACCTGCACGTGGGTGAAGGATCAATCCTTTCTCGAGGCACGCGTGTAAAGTCCATGGGTACGCGGCTCACGGAATGAACGTTGAATCGATGCGACGTCCTCTATCGGAAAACAGTCAGGCAACTTTTTCAAGCGTTCCGTTCAACGCCGGCATTAACGCAGTCATTGAATTTAATTAATGTCACAGCGTCGCGGCATGGCGTGGCGCCACGACGCACGGCGAAAGAAAAAAAGAGGTTGTGCTGCGAGCGTCAGCCCGTCGCGAGTGCTGTCCTCCTTTTTTCGTTCCTGCCTTTTTTCCACTAAAATGTATCGCAAAGGGATCGACGAGCTTAAATCCCTTTCGCCAGGTTTTATCCATCGGCGTATTAAACAAATATATTTACCCGTACGTGCTCGCAGAGAAGTACACGGGGTTAACGCGGTCCGGGAGGAGGGAAACGCGTTTGTCAAATTGGCAATAAATCGTGCCGGGTCTTATCGCCACTTGATAACAGACACGCCTACCCGCATCATTTTTTCGGATAATCTGAATATCGATCCGTGGTATATCACCCGGCTACGCATAATTTTATCCTCTCGATACCCGCACCGTGTATTTATAAATTTCGTTGATAGGTCAATCATAGGAACCTATTCAACACTGTCTCATGTCCAACTAACCGATGGATCATGGAACAATAAGGAAAAACAGGGTCTTGAATCTACTTAACTGGGATTATTTCGAGAAGCCTGGATTTCATGGTGCACCTGATTACGCGAACAAAGCCGTAATACTATCGGCTACTGAGGTACTTCCCGAGACTCCGTTTTCTATTCGTCCAATCTCGACGCGAAGGGAACCGTCTTGTCTCCCTATATCTATAGACGAACACTCTTAATTCTGGGAATATGAAAAGAATTAATTTTTGAATGGAGAAGGTTTAATCCTAAAACGTTATCTGGAGTGAAATTTTACCCCACTAAAATATTGATTGAATCCTTCTAAAGAACTTGATCACTTGCTGACATTAATCTTGTTCATACTAATAATAATGTTTGCATTATAGTAAGTGCTACCTAGAGTGAAATATTACCTCAGCAGACTCGCAGCATTAATGTTATTTTTCTATGGTAGCATTTAAGAATTGATTTCAATTCCACAGTAGTCGAGTTAAGTACATTGATTCTCGAGAATAGAACGTGTGCATGTTCGCGGGCACGTTGCTAATAATAAGCATAGTTTCTGGTTATTGGAAATGTTTCCGAAGACTCGTAATTGCTTGCCGTCGTCCCCGGAGAGGGACCGTTTCCCTATGGTTAATTACAAATCGCAACGCATGTATTAGTCGTTGCCCGATCGCTGCGTTTCCTCATTACCGCAATTTGTATCAAGCCTGTCGGAATACGAAATGCATGTCACGGGGGAAAATTTATCGGCGAGCTTTCAATGCGATCGGTCGATTGCAAATATAGCTATAAAATTGCAAACACCATTTAAACGGAACGGTAAGCGGGCATAAATTCTCGAAGAACCGGATTAAAAGTTCGACTAGACGCTCGATGGTTTATGAGACTAATATCGCCGGAAACTGTTGATCGATACCAAGCAGCGATACGCGTTTTATGAAGCAATAAACGTGAAGATTAAAATCCTATCTCGAGTCGTGTTGCCAAAGTTTTCAACCCCCTTTTATTATTTTTCGAACAGTCTCTAAGTAGAAATTCCACTGTATATTACGTTTTCGATTGTGGTATCTATAGTCATGGACAAAGATAAGAGGACAGAAGAATAGATACCAATGAGATTTACTCGAATTTATATTATTGCCACAAACTTAATTTTTATTATACAGTGGTCATTTGCATCGAAATGGCTTCTTAATTTTCCACGGTATTATGCACTAGATACTTATTATAATTTTCTTCTACTCCACTTTTAGTGATACTAACTTCTAGTCTATCACATGCTAATTTGACTTTTTACGGAAGATAGAAACGATTAAATGGCGAATTTAATTTTTCTTCCCGTCATTTTACAAATATTTCACAGGCAATGTTATTCTACAATACAGAATGTATAAAAATTAAGTTTATAACAGTAATGCAAATTTGATACAATTGCATGGATAAACATTTGTTCACGATTGTACATAGAATCCTGTATGATATAAAAATACTATTACAAAGAAAAATACGCATCGATATTTCGTATAATATTATAATCAGAAAGGACAAAATCCTATTTCTATTTTAAGCGAAACAACTTTAGCATTTGAAAGAGAGTTTCATTAGAAATTAAAGCCTTAACAAGTGGTCAGTTTGGATAATTTATGGTAGCTGCAGCATGATCAAGCACGCGAGGCGTTGCACGTTTTTCTCAGGACCGATTTTTCTTTAGAACACGCTCGAGTCCATTACTCATCTTTATCTGTAGCCAGGTCGTTGCATCAAATTTTCAGTGCGCAGCGACGCAACGACACTCGCTGCGCCTGATAGCAGTTTGGATTATGGATTAAAAATGATTTCCTCGCGAGAAAAACCCGGTTCAGCTAGAAATTGTCATCCACCCTTATGCCGCTCAACGTCGATAACGCGGACCCGGAGTTCTATTGAAATGTAAAATAGAAACAATTGTCGACGCTATCAGCGGCCGGTTTTCACACGGTTGCCTTGACAATTATCACGACGCTTGCCTATCGATCTATACTAGGGAGAGAGGAGGGTCTTGTTCCACTGCAAATACGTACACGTTCCGGTTTGTGGTACACGCGTAGGCATCGTTTATCTCGATGGGAAATTGCGTTACGCGTCATATCGATCCGCCTGCGAGCGTTTACAGGAGCGAGTTTACGTGTTTATCCGCGGGGAATCAGAACTCCGGCTGGACAAGATTAGAAAACGTCACCCTACGGCGAGGAACAAAAGGACGTTTAGAGACCTCAGGGTTCCCGAGTCATGCCGCGGCTCCTCGCCAATAACACCGTTATTGCACGCGATTCGAATCTACGTAGAATTCATCCGACCTCGAATCACAAACAGCTTTCGACTTGAATAAATAACGCACCTGCTGATGTTTTCAAATGTTCCATTAAAAAATAACATTCTGCCACGACATTATTTTGATTTCATTAAAAGCAAAGCATGTAATTCCAAGCATTTATTGTTTGGAAAATGGAATCTGTAATACCGAAGACTGTTTCGAACTACCGAACGGTACGACAGTTCAGATTACTTTAAACTTTAAATGGAAAAGATGGGTAGATAGAGAAGTCTCAACACTGACCAGGAGTTTTCCATTCGTTCGTAATATCCATTCTCATTTCCCATGCTAATTCGCGTCGTTCATTAAATACAAATTTAACGGCGCATCAAACAAGGAAGAACTCTCCCGAAGGACTTTAAACTGGTGCACTTTCTCTCAATCGGGGACGCGGCTATTAACTACAGGAAGAGAAGATCCGTGGGACGCTGTGTCGGAGGAAGTAGCAAAAAAACGATAGCGAAGTAGGAGACACGGAGGGGAATTACGTTAATTCCTCCGTTACGTAGAAACCCCTGGCGAATGGGTGTATAAACCGCAAAGGGATTTTAGTGAATAATACTACGGCTATTTGTAAATTCATAAGGTCACCGGTATTCCGCGTGCCTTAACACGAGATTAACGCGCAAATAAAGGATTTGCGAATTACTATTTATGAACAAACACGGGAACTTCATATCGTTTCATTCACGAGGGACGAGAATACATTGTATTTTTCAACACAATGTTTTGCATACTTCGATATGTCTTTTTAATGAAAGCACCCGATCGGCACATTCGCCTGATCCAATCTGGAATCGCGGTTTGTTGTGGGAATCGGAACAAGCCGAGGCGAATTCTAATAACGAATTCACGTACGTGTGTTCTTCCGGAATCGGCGTTATTGTGATTGTCGAGTACGATTAAACGGGACAGTGAACGATCGATACGGCGCGCGCGACGTTTGACGCGTGTGGCTCGTTCCCGCTTTATCAGCAGAAACGCGTACATCTATCTGGCTATCGTAGGTGGATCAATCAATTCTATTGGCCACGGCTCGCCCGCCCCCCACGTGCCGGCTTCGTGGCAGCTGTTCGAAACTTTTAACGATGTCGCATATACGACGTGAGCGCGAGCGTCGTCGTGGTCGAACGTTAATTGTATCCAACGCCGGTAAATTATGCAAACTAATTTCGAAAGTCGGGAACCGAAGATAAGGGGGAATTACGGAACTTAATTTAATACCCGTCGCTAATGTGAAACGTTCAAGGACAGTAAACAGAAATGCGACGAAATTGAGGAGCGTAATGCGAAAAATGAATACGATAACAAGCGGGCAGAGTCTTTGTCCCGCCGTTTTCGCGGAGAACTATGATAAACATTTCCTTTTGGCCGTAGTTGTACCATCGATCGCAGGCAAGATTCTAACGATGAAAGTATTACGCCGCTGCAAAGCGCTTTCATTTCTTCCGTATCCTACTTCTATTTTACGACGGCCGTGTTTTACAGGAGAACTTCCGCACAAATGATGAAAGGTCGCCATCAATTTCGTCGCCGTTTCAGTCTACAGCCGTCGTCGCTGAAGGAGGGCCAGGAAGACGGAACGACGAAAAACGCTAGGTAACGATATTTTTATCCACCAACTATTTGTCTTATTTGCGCCTCGATATCATTAAAAAAACTCTTTCCCTCTCTCCGAGGAATCTTTATAATTCCACCCATTTTCCACTGTTTTGTAAAGAGCTCTGTGGAAAACGTAAACGGAATTAAACCGTTGCCTACGGGGAATATTACTTTCGCTAATTCGCGGCAAACGAAAAGATTACGCGCGGAAAGTAGACAAAGCAGAGCGAAAGCGCGTCTTTGGTCATTCGCGGAACACATTCCGGCCTTCAACCACTTTCTCCTTACCTTTCTTTTCTCGTTCTCTCCCTCTTGAATTCGTCCGGCCTCCTCTTGACTCGCTCTTAGGCCGGGGCCGAGCTTTAATTTTGCGGCGAGTCCCCGCAAAAAGGGAAGCTCGTCGTTCTCTCCTCCTTTGTGCGCCCCGGTAATAACCCCGCACCTGGCTCCTTCCTGTAATAAGCGTGGATGATTACGACGACGAAGATACTTAGGAACAGTTGTTATCTGGTGCATGCAAAAGCATCTCCAGCATCTCCTGTGGCTCACGAATGCTACACAGAATAGATACTCTAGTTATGCGATGGTGCCGCGAATTCAGGACAGCTTCTATACGAGAGGGTGTATTCAATAACGCGTAGAATCGGTGAAAGGGATCTTTAACGTTCATTAGCGACATTCTCTTCGTGGAGGCGTTGCCCTTTTAAATGCTACACGCTCTTCTCATTTTCCCTTTCATTCGCCCATATTCGATATCATACCAAGAAATTTTCTCTTTCAACTTGTCATTTTTTATAAATGTGGGAGTAACAGAAGTCCGTAATAGTGTCACTTTTCGACCTCGTTCTAACTCATATTGCTTTCTTGAATTACAAATACTAATACGTTCGAAGAAAACATGAAGGAAGTCAGAATTCACCTCCCTTGCAAACTGATAGCAGCATCATGTAGACATTCCGAAAAGTGATAGACTATGATTTTACCCTCTCAGATTACAATTCCCCTTAACGATCCGTCGTTTTATAAGATTTCTACAATTTTAAAATACTTTCGGATGACTTGAAAACGGATTTCAGGAATGAGAGGCTATCGGAATCGGACAGTGGCGGCGGAAAACAGGAGAATAACATACGGCACAAGATAGTGGTGATGGGCGCCGCGAAGGTTGGGAAATCGGCGATAATCAACCAGTTTCTTTACAACACATTCACCCCAAAGTACAAACGGACGGTGGAGGAGATGCATCACGGCGATTTCAACGTGGCTGGTATACATTTAACATTCGACATTCTGGACACATCGGGCTCGTACGAGTTTCCGGCCATGAGAGACCTCTCCATCAAGTCAGCGGACGCGTTCATTCTCGTTTACGACGTTCACGACGCCAGCACGTTCCTCGAGGTGAAAACTCTTCGCGCGCAGATACTTAGCACGAAGGGCACCGTGCCCATCGTTGTTGTCGGCAATAAAGTCGATGTGATTGACAAGGAATACGAGGTAAATATTACACCAATCATAAACTGGGCAAGTGTCCCAAGAAGTCTCGCAAACTCATCAATTGGAAGTGATAAAAAATAATCAGTGATCGTATTTTTGGTAAATATGCGAAATACAAAGTATACTTCGAATATAACGTAAAATGTCTAGGTCATAATTATGCATTTGCTGTTTAATAGATGTTTAATAAATGTGATATAATAGATGTTATTCATAGATCAAAACTCCAAGGAATTATTAATTCTAAATATAGAAAATTCCTATTTAGATTTCTTATTACAAATTGACTACTGACAATGAAGAAATATAAAACATGATGAAGAAATGAATAAAAATTTCAGGTGGATAGTGAGAGCACAAGGGAGATGGTAACAATGAAATGGGAAAATGGCTTCGTAGAGGCGTCGGCGAAGGAAAACTTGAACGTCTCTCAAATATTCAAGGAACTGTTAATCCAAGCGAAACTGAAGTATAATCTGAGCCCGGCGCTGAGAAGACGTCGCCGGCAGTCATTACCGCCGCCTCAGCATATGAATTCCCGCAGCAGCAGCGCTCACGTGCCGTCACCGGCGCAGCTTCAGCATCTGCAGCAGATCCGCGAGCGTTCCGAGTCCAAAAGGAATTCGTGCATCCTTTCGTAAAGAGATGAAGACCCGTTCCCAAATGAGAATGAGCAAACGGGGGACGAATAATGCGACGTTACCGCCATGATGCCGTTCCCCGAGAATCGACATTCGACGGTTCGATCGCAATGGAAGAAAATATGCGAAGGCTAGCTTTAGCTTAAAGCGAAGGACGCGGTAATTTTGTTCTCCGAGAATTCGTTAGGTTTTGGGGTGGCATCATTTCATGAACTGCGTACCGTCTTAAGTTACGAGAAAACCCTGACCGGTAGGGCGTCTCTGCTCGAGCCTGACTCGATGGTTATTGGGCCGTTCGGGTTTTCATAGATCGAACAATTCTTCTCTGAGACTAATCGCACAAGTGGCGAACGACTATTCGATGTTTATTGTTCGAAAATTCGATGTGCATAGCGCGAGTCAGAGTATTTGATGTGTCTCTATTTTGTCTCCGATTAACAACGCTGTTACGAAATTAGTCGTTCCTAGATAGAAAAAGAACCAGCTACGATACAATGGAACACTTTTATGATTGCGACTGTATCTATTCTATGACCCTATCTATTATTACATTTTCTTCAATCGTTAATCCTTAATATCTAGACTGCGGATTTTATGCATATTACAAAAAATGCTTATAATATAATATTCAAGGAGAACAAAAATGAAATGCGTGTTAATTATATCTAAATCTCTATCGAGACTTCATTTTCTACGTTCTGCAGAAAAATCCGCAGTTTACTAATATCTTATTCAATTTTATCCAACTGACGAATTGATAAATAATAAATGGAACCAAACGGTATAATCGCCGTGATTCTAATTGTCCCGAATTATCGAAACGCAGAATCCCACCTTTACCAATGTATCCTATTCCAGGGTTGTCTCCCACTGCCCACTCTATCTACTTACCCCACTTACGAACACGTAAAAGAAAGATTTTATAAAATTTATTGGCTAGTCGATTCAATTTCCATCGAGCACTCGCCTACGCAATTCTTTATACCTATCGCATTGAGCGCATGATTTGCTGACCAAAAGGAGAAGTTACCTCGACTAATTAGGAGCTGAAGACTTACAGCGTGCTCTCGTTATTTATAACAACTGCTCTATTTTTAACGAGGGAAAGTATTGCAAGAACTTTCCTATAGACGCTGTGGAATATCGAATTATTTGTCAATTACGAGTAACTGTGAACCTGTTGTACACGATTGCCTTCGCACGATTATCTGACTTCGAGTGCAATAAGGTTCCGACGTAGGTGAGACACGTGAATAGTCACGTACAAATATTCCATTCGATTGCAGCTAGCTTTTTAAGTAGTATACTCGGTGATAAAATTATTGTATGTTGACATCCTTCGTCGAGACGTAAAAAACCGCGTTTATGAATTCGAAATACGTACGATGTTGATTTTAAAATGAAAATAATGTATTACTTCGCGTTATCGAGTTACAAATGGTTTATCGTCTGAGAAAGGAACGTCACGTTTTCGAGTATATAGATTATCCATGAAAATAAAAATATAAATAAATAAATAAATAAATATATACTTCGTTAGTATAAATGTAGAGAGTCTATGTAAATAACAGAGCATTGTGATGTGGATATCTCGTTGTATCGAAACCCACATTGGGTATAATTTTACATAATTATATAAATACATAATTAAGCAGCCACGGGTCAGCTATGTGATTAACCGCGTTAAAACGATTATGATGTATCGCGCGTTACGGTATATCGTTGTGAAAACGCCGCAGCTCGAAATCAAAGCTATCATTGGGAAGTCCTCTCGCTGATATCGTGCGTTTATTTTGGGAAAATGATTTTTGCAAACCGCATGTAGACTCCCTGTTACTTATTGTTAGATTAATGTTTAATTAGGTGAGGATCTGATTTAACTGAGCGAACGACGAACTACGGGAATCTTATGAAATTGCTGCGATTTATATGTATTTAATTTTCGGTCACGCCACACTTATATTTCTAGCGTAGCTCTGGAACAGATTCATGTATGGTGGCAGATTACTTAAGTAGTTTAAGCCCTTGACTTTGTATCATTGCATTACCAGAAATTAAATAAAATTAATGGATGTCATATTCAACTTCCACAATACATATAATATCTACTGTTGTCTCTCATCCCTGAAACTTTGATTCAACTTGCTTTTTTTTTACTAAACAATATACAGTGGTACTTTGATTATTATGTAAACCTCTACTATATATAATTGTAACTGTAAGTCGAATAGAGAACGCGTCTTGAATAACGACGATTTTTATTAACTTCGGTAATCCTAAAAAGGAATCAAGGGTTACAAATAAATAATTAATTCATTTGAACACTGATTGACATTTGCTTTTTGATTCGGATTTAATTGAAGAATGAAAACTATTTAATTAGCTTAATTGGAAGAAATTCGAGTTAACGATTGAAATTTAATTCTCATTTACAGTTAGAGCACTCCAATTGTAGATGATGAAATTTAACCCTTACCGGTTAATGATAAATTAAAAAATCTGCAATCCTGAATCTGTTAAAGGAACCACTGTATATTCTCCCCTATCTATAAAATTATTGTTACTCTTTATAATAAATATTTCCTCCTTTCGACATAGGAAACATTCATGTTGTTTGCAGATTGCAGCACTTCTCGTACACGCGCTATCACTATCAGGTAGTAAAACTAGGTGCACGTTTTGTCAACATCAATGAAACATAACCTCGACGGCAGAAATGAGCCGGTTTAATTTTCGCATTAAAATCGATTTGTGCAAATACTACAATGATGTGCGTCGTTATTGTTGGATTTTCATCGATGGTACAAAAATGTTGCAAATCGCTCACCTAATGGAGCACATCACGAAACTGTTTAGCATTAAAGAACCATTCCACTTGTTATTGAATGAAACTGATTATTTACCACCTAATGAAGATATAAGAATACTGAAGGAGAACGAAACGATACTGTAAGTACTCTTTATTACTAAAGTATCTTGAAAAATATTGCAACATTTATTTTACAGGGTCTCTCCTGGATCTGGATTGAACAATGATACAACTATAAATAATGTAATCTTATCAGAGTCTAGGTACAGGCAAGAGGTAGAAAATACTCCTGTGAAGCAAGAGAGAATCGGTAACTCTGTTCAACACAAACAAATGCAAACTAATTTTCCTATAGCTGTGTCAAGTCCAGCTCGAGAGACTTTACCTACTGATACCGCAAACAAATCAGGAAATGGTTAGGCTTGACTCATCATTAGACTGAATTTTTATGCAAAATAAAATTTAAACCTCTACTATATATAATTGTAACTGTAAGTCGAATAGAGAACGCGTCTTGAATAACGACGATTTTTATTAACTTCAGTAATCCTAAAAAGGAATCAAGGGTTACAAATAAATAATTAATTCATTTGAACACTGATTGACATTTGCTTTTTGATTCGGATTTAATTGAAGAATGAAAACTATTTAATTAGCTTAATTGGAAGAAATTCGAGTTAACGATTGAAATTTAATTCTCATTTACAGTTAGAGCACTCCAATTGTAGATGATGAAATTTAACCCTTACCGGTTAATGATAAATTAAAAAATCTGCAATCCTGAATCTGTTAAAGGAACCACTGTATATTCTCCCCTATCTATAAAATTATTGTTACTCTTTATAATAAATATTTCCTCCTTTCGACATAGGAAACATTCATGTTGTTTGCAGATTGCAGCACTTCTCGTACACGCGCTATCACTATCAGGTAGTAAAACTAGGTGCACGTTTTGTCAACATCAATGAAACATAACCTCGACGGCAGAAATGAGCCGGTTTAATTTTCGCATTAAAATCGATTTGTGCAAATACTACAATGATGTGCGTCGTTATTGTTGGATTTTCATCGATGGTACAAAAATGTTGCAAATCGCTCACCTAATGGAGCACATCACGAAACTGTTTAGCATTAAAGAACCATTCCACTTGTTATTGAATGAAACTGATTATTTACCACCTAATGAAGATATAAGAATACTGAAGGAGAACGAAACGATACTGTAAGTACTCTTTATTACTAAAGTATCTTGAAAAATATTGCAACATTTATTTTACAGGGTCTCTCCTGGATCTGGATTGAACAATGATACAACTATAAATAATGTAATCTTATCAGAGTCTAGGTACAGGCAAGAGGTAGAAAATACTCCTGTGAAGCAAGAGAGAATCGGTAACTCTGTTCAACACAAACAAATGCAAACTAATTTTCCTATAGCTGTGTCAAGTCCAGCTCGAGAGACTTTACCTACTGATACCGCAAACAAATCAGGAAATGGTTAGGCTTGACTCATCATTAGACTGAATTTTTATGCAAAATAAAATTTATAAGATGTAAATTTAAGAAATGACATTCATTAAGAATGTCCTTTAATCCTGTAAACATAATGCTAGCCATTTTGCTGTACTTTATACACTTTTGTCTTCTATACGAATTTTTTACATATTCGATTTTACTATAAATGCATAAAATCTGTAGTCTACTCAACATTCAGTGTACGTCACATAGAGTTATGTATATAAATGATTCTCTATTGTTAGATGTTTCAGAAGTTAGCATAATGTCCTGTGAAGGAGAAGATAGCGAAGTAAACAGCATAGCTGATTCAAAAACTGCTGATTTAAGTTTAGCTAGCGATAGAAGTACTATAATAGAAAATATAACATGTTCAAAAAGAAAACGAGTACGGCACAGAAAGAAAAAGCAGCAACAAGAAATGGAGCCACCATTAAAAAAGAAAGAAGAAACTAATTTAAAACCTAAGATTATAAACTCTTGCGTAGTTTCTACTGGCAAGCATATTCGTTTTAATAATGTAGATACTGAAGGTGCTGAAGAAGTGCAATCAGACACGATAGACAGACCTGCATCATTATCTACAGCTATTAGCAAACTCGCCAATTTACTAGCATTGGGTGAAAGCCCTGCTCCACTTACCTTTTCGAATACCAGGATAAAGCAAGAGGTGAAAACGGAACGCACGTCTGACGAAGAGGCTGTTCGATTCAATCCTTCATCTGAAAACACAAATGAGAGCACAGCTGTAATTAACAATAACATACTCACACCTACAGAGATCGAACAATATCCACCTATGACGACGAAACCACAGTTAAAAGACGTTATAGCATTTAAGGTAAGTACTTAGAAGGTCAATTATTAGTACTAGTTTTTAATTACTATTTAATTTTGTAGATGCTCAAAATTGGATCAGATTATTCACCACAAATATCGAATTACATCGTGGCAGATGTTATTTCTTATTGTCCAAAATCGTCGATGTACACTTTGAAAGTATCTCGTACGTAATTTTATACAGTATACTATAATATAATTGAGATATATTTATTACTAGTGAATTTCAAATTGCAGAAGGGATATCGGAAGTACAAGTGCCAGTTGGGAAATTCACGATTATTGAAAATGAAGAGGAGCAGGAATTAAAAGATACAATTACATTGAATTATGTGCAAATAATGGAACCTCGACTGATATCAAGATCCCACACGAGCAACGTAGCAAGCCCAGTTAATTGTACAGAATAGATACATATTTGAAAATATTTTTTAAACTGTATAATGTTAAATGAATTGTAATGCACTGTCTTATTATTATATTGACAAACAATTTATATGTAATAGTGTGTTTTTGTTACTTACGGGAATCA